TTCCCGAGGGAGGTGCAGAAGCAGAAATATAACGGCGTGGGCTGCAGGGACCCCACGAACCTTGCCGTTGTACAATGGACGCTGCATCTGTTGTGGACCGGTCTTTCCTAAACAACATTGTGTTGGCAAGTGGTTACATTGTGCATGGTTGAGTCAACTGTTCATTGCGATGTGTATGCTTGGTGGTGTGCAAGTGTGTGTGTGTGTGCTCTTTTGCTGTGTGTATATAATTTGCCAACTCTCTTTTTATTATCTTTTCACTGTTGATTTACGCCATGCGTCCCACTGTGTGTGGCGCCGCCGCTCCGGCCGCCCCAACCCGATGGATCACCCGTCGTCCCGTCCTGCTGTGGCGTCCCTCCCCCTGTTTGCATGCTGCGACATCCCATGACGTGGCGGGGNCCGGCCGCCCCAACCCGATGGATCACCCGTCGTCCCGTCCTGCTGTGGCGTCCCTCCCCCTGTTTGCATGCTGCGACATCCCATGACGTGACGGGGTGCTGCCCGCCTTGCTCACCCTTGTGCCGCGCGCATGCTGTGCAGAAGCTCCCCACCCGCTCTCACCACCTGTGAGCCGAGCCCCATTCTTTGTGCCCTCCGGCGCTGCGCTGTCATTCGGTTTCTAATCCGGCGTGGCCCTGCCGCATGGCCTCTGCCGGTTTGCTAGCCGAAGAGATGCATCCTGTGAGTAAATGAGAAGTAAGTGCATTGAACCAATTCCCATGTGTGCTTTTCCCTCTTCCGCCACACCTTTTCTAGGCATGTCATGGTTGCGCATGCGGATCAGCCTGTTGATTGTGGGGACCCTGATCCTATTGTGGGTTTTCCATGCGATTGGCATGCTGGCTCTCCTAAAGGACAATGACACGGAAACAAGTGCTCCAGTAAGGTCTCTGGCCAACGCCCCCTCTCTTGTGAGCAAAATGAACGTCCCACTTGAGTCCCAGCTGGGGTGGAAAGCAACATCGTGTAGCCCTGGTGCATGGCTGCGCCATAAGAAGCTGCTGCGGTACTGTCGGGATCCAGCAGCGGTCAGCATGCCCGTGTATCCTGCGTACTGTGAGGCGATTCTGCGTCCCGGCCCACCACCGTGTGGCTTCTTCATTGGCGGGATGTTCCGGGAGCCGCTGAGGGTGTTGCCGGTGGCTGCGCTGAGTCGGCTGCTCCGCGGCGGGGATGCTGCGTGCGCCTCTCGTGCGACGTACGACGGCTCGCAAGGCAACTCCACACTTCTCGCCGTTGACACGGGTGACGTGCTTGTCCCCGCGTTCGAGGTGCGACCGTCCGCGTGCGCAAGCTACCGCTACTTCTCTCCGCGGGAGGCGTTGTCGATTCTGCACCACGCGAGCATTAGCCGCAACGGGCGTGGAATCGTTGTGTCGGGTGACTCGATGATGCGGCACCTGCTGCTGCGGCTGGTGTTCTTCCTCAGGGGCGAGGAGGTATTCTCCGAACACTACTTTCACAGCGACGCCGTGTATGTTGTGTATGAGGAGCGTGACGAGATTCTCATTCCCCCCAGATGCACCCACCGGGCCCTATTAGAGACGTACTTTCCTGGGTACAACGTGACGTCCCCCGATGGGGCGCCTTGTGGCCTGTCGGCGCCGCTGACTGAGCGTGTAGTTGCCGCGTTCCTGTTCGTGTGGGATGTTACGCCACGCCGCTTTCGTGAGGATGTCTTCCTCATTGAGAACCCGCCTGTTCATTTAGCCGCCTTCATGTACTGGTGGAAGCGTGGGGTGGACCACGCTGATGATATTAGGCAGTACTTCACCCGCTTGAGGCGACGTGTGAGTGCGACTAAGATGCACCGCGCCGTTACAACGGACTATGTGTTCTACACAACGCCGTGGACTGACTCTCTGGCAGGTCATGTTCTTCCTGAGGACGCTCGTGTGGTGCGAAACACACATGCGCGTAGCAGCATCAGAGAGATGCAGAGAGAGCTGGGCGAGGATGGCAAAATGGGGCCGAGATTCTCGCTGGTGGACTTTGCTGCCATAGCAGATGTGCGCCACGTAAATCGCACGATGGATTTGCTGCATTTTATGTGTAATTGGATTCCGGAGTTCCCGAGGGAGGTGCAGAAGCAGAAATATAACGGCGTGGGCTGCAGGGACCCCACGAACCTTGCCGTTGTACAATGGACGCTGCATCTTCTAATGGAATTGTAATAGTTTTTTTGTGTGACCGGGAAGTCTACCTGAGTTGCACTTCGTTGTGGATTTGGTGCTAGTGGTTCTAACGCATTGTTGTATTCATGGGATTTTTTTTTCTTTGTTTTTGTTCTATGGATGGAAACATGACAGTTGCGCGTTGCTGCGCTTATTACGAAGGGCTTGTCTTTTGCTTCAGTTGACATCTCCCGTCATGTTTTTGGGCGTGCTAAAGGAATTGTCGTGGTTGACGCGCTATTGGCGTAGGGAGGAGCGGGCGACCTCATTTCCCATATCCTGCTCTTTGTGAGGATGGTTGCAACGCGTGAGTTTCGAAATACTACCTATCCATTGCCTTCACGCCTTTCGCGTTTTCGGGCGGGTGGATGTGCGCTGCCAACACCTCCTTTGTGTCGGTACCGCTCTTTGCACTTGGATGAAAGTTGTTGGAAGTGAATTGCTCGCTGACGGGGTGCTGTAAGATAACTTGTGAAAAAGTTTTACGAGATGCCCTCCATTTTTTTGTTTCTTCTTCTGTCTGCCAAAAGGGGAGGTAAGGTTTGTAGTGCCTTTAGCTTTCTCCATTACCGGAGGGGTGTTGGGAACGAATGAGGGCGAATCTCGAGGATGTCGTTGCAGCGCTGCATCGCCGGTTTGATGAACGTGGTGCTTACGCTCACCCGTCTCATGCGTACAGCGTCGCACAGGAGCTGACAAATGCCCTGACAACGTCAGAATGCCAATGCCAGCTGCAGCGTCTGCTTTCTCTTTTTGAGTGCGACAAGGAAGAGTGCGCTGTGGCTCATGTCGTTGCTGCTGGTGCATTGGTGTGTGGTGGTGTTGGCGCCGCTCTGTCTGAAGAGGAAGAGCGGCGGTGGGAATTGACGACGCATGCGATGCTGACGGCTCATCCGCCCTTCTCAACGTCGGTCGTTGCTGCTGTGTGTTACTGCGTTGCGCAGATGGCGGTGAAAGGCCGCTGTGCCGCTTTGGTGCAGGCGGCGGGGACGGCGCTTTGTGGTGGCATCGTGTCGAGCACAACCATAACCGAGGAGGCTGCGATGGAACTGCTGGCGCAATGCGCTGACACGCTTGTGAGTGATCGGCAGAAGGAGCAGGAAAAGGAAGGGGGGGACGCCATAACACTTCGAGATCAGATAGCAAGTGAGACGGCACTCAAAGATATGTTGGTCCGCTGCGCACTTGATGCATTGTCTTGCGCGCGGGGCGATGCCATGCTGACATCTTTTCTTTCTCGCCGTGTGCTGATCCCGTTGCTCCTGTCAGACGGGAATGCTTCATTGTCCAAATACGACTCGTGCATTCAGTCTTTGTTGCTGTCCCTCACCGCTGACAAGGCGAAGCAGAGCGAGGTGGTGGTCCTCATCGCTGCAGCATTTGAATATGTGTTTCGATGCAGAGACGGCGACAAGCAGCGGGATTATCGATGCTCTCCGCATTTGTGGGACACGCTCCACAACGCATTTCAGGATGCGCTTACCAGTGAGGGGGAATCTGGGCACCGTGCGAACATGCAGCTGCGCGCGGAGTATCTCTTGAAGCGTGTTGTTGACTTCACACGTGAACAGGAGGTGCAGGAGGGGTGGACACAGAATGTTGGGTTTCACCGGTACTTTGTGTGGGTTCCTGCTGTAAGTCACACACAATGGGGATTGTTCTTTCTTGTCCTTGAAGCCACCAACGAGTACGGCCTACACATTATTCAGCCCGCCCTTCCTAAGTTAGACGTTCTCGTGGAACAGTTGGCGTCTGACGCTGCGGCTTGGAAGGAGAATATTAAGAGTAATAACAATAAAAACACCAGCAACGAGGATGATGTGATGGTGGTGGGGGCTGCGCGTTTCACTGGTGGGCTCCACCCTGTGTGGGTCGAGATGCTATACTTGAAGATGCTGCTGCATCCAAACATGGCCTTCCGGAAGATGGGACTGCGGCGTCTATGGTCGCTGAGCACGCCGCTTCTGCAACTCTTCTCAAGCGCCTTCCTGTTCACGAATATGGTGGAGGTGTCGCTCGACTCGCGGCTCTGCGCGGAGCTGGATCGTACTCCGCATCTCTTGGCCTTCTTAGGCGCCAAAGGCTTTGAGGGAGAAGAGGTGCGCGCGCTGGCGGGCACGGCAGGACCACTTGCCGACCAACTCGAACGTTTCTACGCACGCATTTTCCGTGACGTTCTGTGCACAGCTGATGAACGCAGGGAGGCTATGCGCCGAATGCTCCACGTCGTTGCGGCAAAGCCAAGCCCACACGCGGCGACGATGCTTCTTCGCATTCTAAACGGCGTCGCCGTGGCGCTGGCAGAGGACCATGAGACAAAAAGTAGGCATGCAACACTTGGGATGATCACAGACCCGGGTGTGCTGCAGGAGTTGTTTATTGTTTTGCGTGACGCAGCACAGGAGAATGTCCCCTTCTGGCTTGATGTACGGCTGAACGCTATGGCCTTCAGCGCGCTGCTGCACTTTGCTCGAGTCAACCCTGAAGCAGCGCGGCAGTCCTGCGAATTTTGGAGGCTGCTCTGTATGTGTGGCCCTCTTGGGCACTCGGGTGGGAACGGCGCAGTTGCTGTTGACTCAGTAGGACACGTTGGCAGCGTCGGTTCATGCATTGACCCGTGCTTTCTTAACGATCAGCTGCTGCGTGTCTCTTGCAATGTCCTTATTGAGGGAAACAAGTTTACCTTCTTGCGAACGATATTGCAATCCAACCGTTTGCTGGAAAATGTGCAACGGTTTCTTCGTGCATCCTGTTTTGATGAGGTGCAGGCGAAGCAGCTGCTGTTCCTCTCTGGGGCAATGCACATGGCGGAGCCGCAGGACAGACAGGTGCTCGCAGACGTGGCGCGAGAGATTGCAACAGCTCTCTGTTCCCTAGTGAAGAGACCGTACAGCTCTCCTGGCAACCTCCTTGCGTCTCTGCTCGCATTCGTGGAGTTTCATCACTCGGTTGGAACGGAAGCGAGCACGCAGTACTTCTCTCTGACGACAGTTGTGGATATGAGCGAAGTTATATATACACTGGCATTCAGTTCTCTTCGGCAGGCGATTCACGCGATCGCAGAAGTTGCAACCCCCGATGACTTCCTCAATGATGTCTGGGCCCTGCAGCACACGTCAGAGTGGGACGCCGTAGTTGCGGCTATGGTGTCTACAGGGCAGATCGCTGCTTCCCATGATTCTGCCAGCGCGCCGACACGGTTGCAATCGCGGCAGCGCATTGAGGAGCTTGTGGAGCTTTTGGTCTCTGGTGTTAGTGGGATTGCTACGAATGCCCCTTCATCAGATGCCAGCTGTAACGTGGCTTCTCACTTCGCAAAGATGGTTGTCGCTCGTAATGCTTCGCGACTTCTACAAGGTGTGCTCTGTGGCTTGATTGCTTTGAAGTCTCCAGCTGCCAATCTACAGGACGTGGACATAGAGGCTGGGGTCTTCTGCTGCTGCTGCTGCTGCAACACCGACAACGCGGACCTTCCCCGCTGGATTCGCCAACTCATGTGCTCTCCTATGCTGCGTCTGACATCATGCGATGTTCCGTGCTTGCTGACAAACCTTTCGTGGTCGACTGTTTTGGCACAGTACTACGGCGGTGTGTACAATGCCGTGTTCATTCTGTGCAACGCTGTGGATACACGGACTTCCCCGGACTTAGTCGTGGAGCTGCAGGAATACGGACTGGACCACGTGGAGCGCTGCTGGGGGAGCAACCTGACAAGTGTGTACGGCATTCTGTCCTGGGTTGCTGCCGCTGCTGCTGCTGCTGATGAACCTAAAGGTGTGGATCACGCCGCCATCATCCACGCCATGTTTGATCACCTGAACGACGTTGGGGCAAAGGAGCACGGACGTGTTTCTGTGCTCGCCTTCAACGCACTCCGCTGCGGCGCGACGGAAAATGATGATCTGATCAAGTCGTGTCTCAGTCGGGCACTGCTGGACGAGGCAGAATCAGAACGTTCTGGCTATGTTGCGGCGGTGACGATTGCGACGGAGGTGATGCGTGATCCTGAGGCGAACTGGCCACGCTTCAAGGAGCTCCTGCTCCACGTCGCGGTGCTGTACAACTCCAGCCGTGAAGAGGAGGCCTCAGAGGTGATGGTCGCCGCAACAGAGCCAGTTCTGCTGGCATGGTCTGAGGCGTTGCGTGTACAATACACACCCACTGTGCGGCTTTCAACTGTTGGCCGCGCCCTCGCGATTTCCACAACTTTGTGGTGCTGCCATTTGCGTCCTGAATGGGCGACAGAGCTGTCGTTGGAGCTGTTGGATTGGAATACTACCCACGAGGTTGTAAGCTCCGAGCCATGCAGACCAAACTCCAGATCACATCGCTGTCGTATTCGTTTGTGGCAAATGTTGTGTGCGCTTTTACCAATGATCGATGATGCTGATTCCCAACGCAAGATGCTGCAAACGGTTATACAGAAGTGCCTCCCTCTCATCAATATGGGCAGCGTGAGGCGCCTGATGGAGCTGTACGCATTGAAGCTCCTGGAATCTCAGCCCGGCCTCTACAAGATCATTGATGACGCAATGACCAACTACGGTATTCGGCCGCAGGTTTGCGGCAGCTATGTCTTGATCGCGGCCCACACGGTACTGCAGCAAGTTCGCGGAAAGGCGGGACACGTGGATGGTCTCTTTGAGGCGATGCTTCACCGCCTTTTTCAACAGAGTACTTCTCACCAGCATCTGCTGCGCATCATCTCCCACATTGGCCTCTACCACATCCATGAGGAGTGCTTGGCAAAAGGTTTGAAATTCTCACCTGCTGAAGAAATGATGTTTGATTACATTGCCCGTGCCCCAGAGCACGTGAGGTTCCGCGCCAAGCATGCCGAGCAGCTCTTCTTTGATCTGGCGGAGGCGTCCACTCCGCGGCAGATATTCTGCATCCAACGGAAGGAGGGTCACAACATTCTCTTGGAGAGTATTCCTGCTGCTGCTTTCGAGCGGATGCGTTTTCTTGATCGCGAGTTCCGCAGCCTCACCGGTGCGCTGAGCCCACTGGAGATGCTTCGCGTGCAGCAGGTGTCGCAACACAACTCCAGCCACCATGTGCTGGAACTCTTCAAGGACTTTCCGTACATTCCACACACGGAGATTCACGCGGAGTACTGCGTTGATTACACCGCAGAGGCCCTGGCGCTGTTGGTGGAGGACAATGGCCTCGCCGATGGCACGAACACTGCGGGCGGTGACGAAAATATTCAGCGCAAGGTGACACCGTGGTGGAACAGCCATGTATACAACGAGCTGCACCCGCGCGCACTCAAGACAGAACGACAGCCCCTTGTTGTAATTGGATCCCTCCTGCAAAACCCTGTCAATGTTGCTGGCCTCTTCCGCTGTGGCGAGATCTTTACTGTGGAGAAGATCGTCGTGACTGATGCGGCGGTGTTTGAGCACCCGCACTTTGTTGCGGCCGCCCGTAGTGCCGAGCTGTGGCTGCCATGGAATGCGGTGCCGGAGCGGGACCTCCCGGCGTACTTGACATCGCTGCGGCAGGATGGCTACACCCTCATCGGCGTTGAGCAGACGGCCAGTAGTGTGTCGATGGCGTCGTACAAATTCCCCGAGCGCGCTGTCATTCTTCTTGGGGCCGAAGGCCACGGTGTGCCGGCGGCGCTGCTGCCGTTGCTAGACGTCTGTGTGGAAATACCACAGTTTGGCCTTATTCGTTCGCTTAATGTGCACGTCACGGGTGCAATCACGATGTATGAGTACACTCGTCAGCGCCTGATGGATAAACGTGCCTCGTAACAATATTCTATGCTCTTGGCGGCATGCGTGCTGCTGTGACTCCCATCGGGGAGTCATAAAACTCTTTGTTTTTGGTTACTTGCTGAACGGAGGAATGCAAATCTTTCCTTTTCCTTTATTTTCTCTGTAGACGATTGCTTATAGTACGTTCCTGCCAGTGCGTGCGTGTGTGTGTGTGTGTGTGTGTGTGCGTGTGTGCTTTTGGCGAAGGCGACGTTGAAGATGCAGGACGAGGCTGTGCGGGCGGCACTGGCAAGTGGTGCGTGGCGCGAGAAGAAGGACCCTAAGTCTGGCAGGACGTACTACGTCAATGCGCAGACACGGACTTCTGTATGGAACCTGGCAAAGGAGCTCGCGAAGATTCCACAACAACAACAACAGGAACAGACAAAGGAGAAGTCACAGAACATTGCGGCGGAGCTGCAGGAACAGGCGAAGCGGTGGCAGGAGGAAGAGGCTGCGCTGATGCAGCACATCACTGACCTGGAGCGGGAGAAGGTGCGGCTGGAGAGTGAGATCTCTGTTCTGCTCGGCCCCACCGAAACTGAGGCGACAGCACTGCGAGAGGAAGAGAAATGGCTGCGCGACGCGAAACATAGTCTTGAGGTTGTCGTAGCGGAGGAGTTGCAGAAACAACGGGAACAGACAGTGGAGCTGCAGCAGCTCCAGGCACATGTAGAGAAGCTGCGCCTCAAGCGGAAACAGGAGCTAGAAGCATTTGAATCGCTGCGTAAGCGACTAACGTTGCTGCAGCAGGAGCATGCGGAGGCACTGGCGGACCTCCGCCGTGAGGAGGACGCACATGCCTCGCTGGAGGAGGAGCATCGCAATGAGACGCGTCAGCTGGAGAACGCTTTGCGTGCGGAGGCACGTGTGAAGGAGTTAATTAAGATGCGTGCAGCGGAGGTAGATCGTATGAAGGCGGAACTGAAGGCGGTGTGCGAGCGCAAGGCTGAACTGCAACAGCACCACCAGCGTCTGTCCGAAGAGGTGGCGGACGGGTCGATGGGAGCCGCGACAGATGCTCTGCAGGAGGGGGCGTCCCCGGTTTCCCCTCTGTTACTCTCACGGCTCCAGCGTGAGGTGGCGCGGCGGAAGAAAAGCCTGCAGCAGTTGAAGCAGCATCAGCGAGTTGGTGAGGAGGCGGAGTGGATGCGGTGTGAGAGTGCCGAGCTGCGCCGTGTCGCGGCCTCGGCGGAGCGCGAGGCAAAACAGATGGCGCTCTTCTTAGCGGAGCTGCGCGCGCAGGTGCAGGTGGTGGCCCCACTGGTGGAGGCGGTCGCGCGTGACGTGCAGCAGCTGGTGGCAGAGTCAGGGACGTATCGCTGAATGCGGGCGTCAGTATCGAGTGGCCAAGAGGGAGGGGGATGTGGGGAGGCCGACGTAGCTGGCTGTTTTGTGCTGACCCCGGTCCTTAAAAGAAAAGAAAAAAAAAGAAAAATTGGCTGTCTTTGTTTCCCCATTCCTTCCTCCTCCTTCTCCTCCTGCGTCTTTATTGTTTTCTCTAACGCCAATAGTGAGCGTGACCCCCTCAGCAGGCGGCCTGCTCCCCTCTTTTTTTGTGTGTGTGTTGGCCTCTCAGTCTCGTTGTGTAGGAATGCGTCGCTCGGCCTTCTCGACATCTGTTCTTCCTGCCGCTGCGGCTGCTGCGACGACGGCGGCGGCGGCGGCTCTGCAAACTGCGGCCCGGGGCGGGCTTGTGATGCACACGCCGAAGTCTGACATTGTGCTGGGCCGCTTCAACTTCATGGAGCAGTACAACGAATTCCGAAACCGCTCCGGCCGCGCACCCGACTACTACGTGGAAAAGTACCGCGACACGTACTGGCGCGTGGATGAGTACATCCGCCGCGCGGAGAACTACATCCACGCGCAGGGTTTCTTCTTCCTGCCAACGCTAGAATTCCCCTGGTACAAGGGCTGCCTTCCGCTCTTCTCGTCGTACCAGATCCGCCTCCACTACAGCCGCCACCACCGTGCCTACGTGGAGAAGCTGAACCAGCTGATTGAGGGGACGCCGATGTACGGCTTCAACCTTGACGAGATCATCACGCGCAGCCACGGCGATCGAATGCTCGTTGGCACGTACAACAACGCCGCGCAACATTACAATCACTGCTTCTTCTGGAAGTGCATTCAGCCGTACGGCAGCAACATTCCCCCCGATTTGAAGGCGGCAGTAGAGCAGCAGTATGGATCAGTGGAAGTGTTTCAAAAAACATTCACCGATGCTGCGGTGAGTTTGTTTGGTAGCGGTTGGGTATACTGGGTGTATGATAAGCGTGCAGAGAGGTTCGATATTCTTTCCCTGCAGAACGCTGGCTGCCCGCTGACAAACAAAGACGTTGTACCGCTGCTGTGCGTGGATGTGTGGGAGCATACATACTACGTAGACTACGAAAATGACCGCGCAGGATTCCTATCGAAGTATTTTGACGTTGTGGATTGGCACTGGGCAGAGCGGCACTGGAAGCGGGCAACAGGGCAGGAGTACTACGAGATGAAGTTCTGGTGAGGGTGTTGTAGTGCCATTCATACATGTATTGAATGGTCTATGTATGCATGTATGCGTCTGCGTGGTGTGGTGTTAGCGTAGAAGAGTGGTGTGCGGGTAGGGTGGGTGCTTGGGTAGCGGACTAGGGGCACAATGTGGGGGTGAGATGGGCGCGACAAATGGGGAGGGAAAAAGGGTCTTAGTGTGTTTATATATGAATTTATGTCTTTGTATGTATTTGCTTTCCCGTTAGTGGGGGTGGGGGATGGGTAGGCAGTTTTGCTGTTGCTGTGTTCTGCCTTGTTTGTCGGTATGAAGGCGTGAAAGTAGGAGACACAAAAGTATGGTTCTGTGCGTGAGAGGGAGTAAGAAAGTACAGAACTTAGCGAAAGGATCCCTTCCAAGCAAAAAAAAAAAACAATTGTAGTCTGTCTGTGTCTGCGTGTGTGTGTAGTGACTGTGTGGTAGTCTGCCGTTTGTCAAGATGATCCCACACTCAAACAATTTACTCGCCCATGAAGTAGAGGTGTGATCTCTGGCCTTTCGCTTACTGCTTGTTTTTCTTTTCGTTTATTCACATCTTTTCTGCATGACTTCTGCACACATTCTTATTACAGCAGCAACAGTAGTAGCAGCAGCAGTAGTAGTAGTAGTGGTAGTAGTATTAGTACTCTTCCTTGTGGTGGGAAGTGACAGGCGACCATGATGCGCCGCAGCTGCTTTCTGCTTAGCGCCGGCATGGTGGAGTACCATGAGTGGCACCTCCACGAGCCGCTGCTGCAGAACTACGAGGGCTGGCGTATCCTCGACAACCCCCGCTACGAGAACAAGTCCGACGCGTACATTTACGACTTCGTCGGCTGTGTGCGCCACCTCGATCCCATCATCGACGACCCGCGCCTCACACACAAGCAGCGCGTGTGCCGTCTNTACCGCTGGGCACTCAAAGAGCTGCAGATGTGGCTTGTGCAGCTCAACGCACACAAGTTCAACCTCGCGTACAAGGTGGTGCGGCGCCGCTTTGAGATGTACCGCTATGTCACGGACCCTGCCATGTGCGACATGATGGTGCGGCAGACACAAAAGTACCTGCGCGAGAACGCCAATGTTCACTACCTGCGCCGCAACAATGGGTCGCCGTGGTCGACGTACACGCTCGCTAACCCGATGTTCCACCCCGACGGGTCGCAGGTGTACGACCACTGGACGCATCCCGAGGTGATGTGGTACGACGACGCGAAACTGCACCGCTGGACGGCACACCACCCGATGTACGCCGGCGCCGGCGAGAAGTCAGACCGTTTCGGTGACATGGACGTGTCACCACATCTGCGCCACCTGACGGCCGCTTTCTTCGGCGCGGTTTTTCTGTGGACCATCTGTACTTTCCTTGCCGTGTTCGACCGCGACGTTGACCCGCACTATGCAAAGTGGTGCGAGGCGTTTGACGACGACCTCAAGGGCGCACTCTACGCGGCGGAGCGAAACTCGCGCAGCAGGCCGTCGATGCTGGGCTGGGATTGGGATCGCATCATGGGGAAGGTGGAGCAACAAACCGGCTTCCACTTCTACGACGCGCAACAGGTCAGTGTGTGATGTGCATGCATGTTTGTGGGATGATGTCTGTGCGTAAGGGAGTAGAAAACGAGTTGGCTAGTGCTATGTTACTTGTTTGTGTGTTTATTAGCACCAAAGGGTTGGGAGGGAGGGGAGTGAGGAGAAAGAGGAAGAGGGAACATATGGGAAACGGGGGAAGGGTGTGTGACGGTTTTTTTTTTGTTTCTTTGCCAGTAGTGAATTTGTATGTGTCTCTGTGTGTGTGAGCGCGCGAGAAGAGTGCCCGATTGGACTCGACGGAAGGAAGTAGCGGTGTAGAATGAAGGCTGCGACAGCAACAACACCAAGACTGGGAGTGACGCAGTAAGTGTCTGCGTCTGTGTGTGCATCATCTATCTATATATCTATATATGTATGTATGGCCTGGTGTGCGTTCCTCTGTCCATCTCCTCTTTTCATGTGCTGCTGCGTGGCGGAAAGTAGTGCGCCGCCGCCCGGCTTGCCGCTCGCAGACGGAAGAAATCAGAGAGGAAGATACGAGAAGTCGAGTGAAGCATCAACCAGCCGCCGCTAGTTGAAGTGGAAGGAGAAGACGACACACCAGTGCAAACAGACGAACCAAAAAAAGAAAAAAAAAAGGTAAAAAGAAGAAGTTTTGCGTAGATTAGATTTGCAGGAATGAGTTCACGGGTTATCATAGCGACGGAAGGAAATGAGCAAAGTATTTTGTCTGCCATCAGCGACTTTGGCAACGTGTCGCGCGGCAGGTGCGACGACAGTGTGGACAGGCACAGCAGCAGGTCCAGCAGCATTAGGGTGGATTACCAGCGGCTGATGGAGGAACACGCGCAGCGTGCAGCAGTGCTGGAGCAGTACCGCATCCTGGTGGCGAGCAGGCGGGAGCAACAACAGCAACAACAACAGCAGCAGCAGCAACAAGAAGAACAACAACTACTACTACTACTAGAGCAACAACACCAACAGGAAGAGCAACAACAACAACTACTACTACAGCAACAGCATCAACAGGAACAGCTGCAGAGAGTTGTTGAGCAGCAGTGGAAGCTGCAGCGGCAGCAGGAGGAGGAGGAGGAGGAGAAACGTCAGAAACAGTGCAGAAAGACACCAGGAGTGGGGGAAAGCGCATTGAGTGAGCGATACAGCGTGAATGAGACGCTGACGGTACAAAGCCGCCAGTCTTCCCCGACGACTTCTTGTGCCACGTCAGGTGCACCCACGTCCGTGATGGGTGCACCGAAGCAGCGCTGCAGGAGCTCCTGCACGTGGACGCGGCCGCGCAACGCACTCACAGGCACCACTGCGAGCTTTGCTGCCAAACAACGGGCAAAGGTGAGTTCTGCACCAAACACACCGCGCCAGCGGGAGCAGAAGGGCAAGCAGCGTGGTCGTACCGAGATGCATGTCTCGGCCTCCTCAACACCGTCACCTTCAATGATCCAGCCACCGTGTCGGCCGTCGAATGCGTCTGGGCGCACGCAGCTCTCATGCCACCACGAATCAACAGAACGGATAGAGGATTTGGGGTTGCCGTCATCATCATCGCGGCGCTCATATCAGGAGCTGCACGGCCGTCCCCAGCCCAGCACCACCCTGCCAGTAGACAACGATGAAACACCTGAACAGGAGGCTGTTACCGCTTCTGCTGTTCGTTCTACAGAGACGCGCAGGAGCGGCACGGGTCGCACAGACGCCTCCGCAAAACCCCCTGTCTCGTCTCTTCGCACGTCGGGCCGAGCGGTGATTCGGGGCGGCAACGATGCCAGCATGCTGGAGATCGAGACGGAGGAGGACAGACAACAGCTACAGCGGCAGATCGTGAATGTCGCCGCCTACTCCTCGACGCACGCATCAAGGAGTGCTTCCAAAAGCGTCCAACAACAGCAACGGCAGCAGGAGCCGGCGAGGAGGTCAGAGCCGAATCTGCCACAGGCGGTGGGTGGCGGTGAGGAACCATCATTTATGTCCTCGGTGACCGCCATCACTATTGACCTCACGTCGCCAATACTTGACCGCTACAAGCATCAGCCGACGGTGGTTGCACCTGCCGCAAACGGCGGCAGCACCCAGAAGGATTCACGGATCCCGGATTTGCCGACGCTGCCCCGTGAGCCAATTGCTGCAGAGAACTTCGCCACCGATGAGGCAGCGGAAGCCATTGCGCGGGGTTCGAGCATCAACGGCAGGAAGACCCCACTGGGGTGTGTCGATGAACCTTGGCTGGAAGCGGGGCGTAAGACTGTGGCGACGCCCACCAACCCTGCATCGGGTCTATCAACTGCACGTAGCACAGGCTTTACGAGCGACGACAAGGCCTCCTGCATTGCCGCAGTGGCTGCTGCGTTGCAGGGGATTCTTGTTCAGACACGCCGTGTGCTGCCGTGCTACTGCTGCGGTGAGATGCAGCCACTTTCCGCGTACCGCCTGCACCTGGACTTCTGCCTGCCACGCACGGAGGCGCTCTACTCGCGCTACAACCTCAACCCACTGCGGCTCATCATGAGCGAGCCGAAGCAGCCGGTTCCGGGGCTCTTTGCGACGGAAGCCGAGAAGGACACGTTTGCTAGTGCGTGCTACCAAGGCGTGAAGGCGTCGATCGTGCCGTGCCCGGAGTGCGGAACGCCGCTCCGCATTCACGACCTCCCCGAGCATCAGAGTGTGTGCAGCAGTGGCAGAACCAGCACGCGGTCCAAGTCGGGGAAGTCGAGGACATCTCGCGGTATTTAGATAGAGCCTCCCCTCCCGAAGCAAAAAGAAAAGGAGTGGGAGAAGGAAAAGGAAAAAAAAAAACGGAAGGCTCGTATGCAGCTGCCACAGTCGAAGTTGCAGCAGCATCGTATTGTTTTTACTTTCATACGCAATCATTCTATTTGTTGGTGTTGGGACCGTATAGATAGTCCCCACTGGCACCCTGTTGTTCTCCTCCACATGATGAATCGCCAGGCTTCGTGTGTATTATATTAGTTTGTGCGTATTCAGCAAAGATGCGCTCCTCGTTGTTTTTTTTTTT